ATATATATATATGTATTTGTTGGAGTTTTCTCTGTATTATTGTAGGGTCTTTACCTTACAACATAAAGCACCTTGAGTTGATTGTTGTTGTACTTTGAGACTGTATAAATAAAATAGAACTGAATTAAATGAAATTACTTTCTGTGTGCTGTGCAGGGTCCAAAAACTAACTTCAAAGAATCTGTGCAATGGTATTAAATAAGTAACTGCAGTGATGTGACCGCTCTACATTAAGAGACTTTCGTACAGGCAAGTCTGTTTGAAATGCAGAAAATTCATTCACTTCACCAAGTGGAAGAACAGTGAAAAGCAGCTAAGCAGCAGATTCCAGTTAGTTTCTGTTTATTTCATAACTCTTCTGCATATATTATCAACAGTTTAACAAACAGGATTCTTTTATTTAAAAACACGATGTAACATTGATGGGTGGAGGTCTAACATGTGAAACACTTAAACCACTTCTACACACAGAAACTTTTGGCTTATTCAGACCAGTTTGGCAGCGCTGTATTTGGGAGAGGTGTCAGTAAAGGTTCTTGATGGAGGGCAGCAGCTTCACACTCACACAGACGGAAACTAATTCCACTACTGCCAGTACAACACAACATCCCCAGGTTTGTACGACTGCTGGGCTAATGCAGTCAAAGTCATGCACTAAGAAAACTTTGCAGGTTTCCAACACAAAGTCACTTTTTCAGACGTGTTGGAAAATGTCCAAAATGCTGCAAAATGTGCGAGCCACGAGCATCAGTTTGTGCCTCTGAGGGGTTTTATCACAAGTGCAGATAAAAAGATTGCCATTCAAATTTAAAAAAAAGATTCCTATAAATGTCTTTATGCTAACTCTAACTTAAACAAAAAGCAGATAAAACCATAAAGTTATTGTACAAAACATCACCCAAACGGAAAGCTTTATGTTGGAAAATCTTTAAATTTAGTTTAGTTTAGGATTGATTCATGATTTTACAGACACTGGCATTTTCAGGTTAATGGGAAGTGGTGTGAAATATGTTTCAGATGGTTTTGATTTGATTGTAATTTTTTAATCTCTACATGAAACACATTAAAAAAGATACTCAAAGAAAACAGCTAAGATAAGTTGTTTAACCAAATGTTGCGTTTTGCATATAAAACCGTGAATAAAAAGCATGATTATTTAATTTTCACAAAAATCGACAGTGGGCCTTATAATTCGGTGCGCCATATGTATGAATTCTGGTTGTGCTTACTGACCTTGAACTGATTTTATGTGGTGCGCGGCGCTCAAAAATTGGTCAAAAAAAATGTTTTACTACGACTGGTCAGCTACGAAGCCGCACCAGAGCATTATGGCTACTGTAGTCAGGAGCCTTGCAGAGTAATCTGGATCCAAAACTCCATCTGCTTCAGGTCCCAAAGTCAAACGAGCACTGCGGCATCACTGAGATTTAAAAAACTGTCTAAATTCTCTCATCTTTAATAAAATGATCAGCGTTGCTGCTTTACCAGGCATAACAATTAAGGCATCCATGATGACAGAATTTATTAAATTTAATGGAGTTACAAGTTAGCAGGAAGTTAGCTCGCTAGTTTCCATCTAAACATGATATAGCATGTTCTGACTGAGAGATTTATGAAACAAATTAAAACATACAGCTCTGCTATCACTTCCAACATTAATGAAGACAGAAAAGTAAACAGCAGTGACTTTTGTAGGGTTACTGAAGGTGGGCTAGCTGATATATAATGATGTGCTACGTGATCGCTAGCGACACAGTTATGTTAGCATAACATAAAATCAGTGAGGCTGGATGATGAACGCTAACTTTTTTCCACTCAATAAAAGTTAACGTAAGGGTTCCTGATGATTTCGACAAATGCAATCGCATGGCAGGATGCTGTAAACGGACCAAACATTAGTCAGGAGAACAACTGAGATAATCCATCGACAATACGAGGTTAGTCATTAATATACTGAAACAACATGGGAATAGAGCAGCTGCAAAAGGATTCAGCATTAATGAATCAATGGTACGGAAGTTGAGGAAGCAAGAAGAATGAGTTGCATAAAGTTTGATTTATCTGACTGTTTTGTTTCGCTTAATGCGCCTTATAATCCAGTGCGCCTTATGGTCTGAAAAATACAGTAATAATTTTAGGAGCTAAAATAGTTTGAATTACTGAATAAAAGATTGATGCAGCTTCATCTCTGGAAATCAGATCTCCCGGAGAAAAATCTCTGTGGTCCTAATAAAACACCATTATCAGATCCTAAATGGAAATAATGATGATTACTGAAGGTAACAATTACTTATGATGTCAGCATAAAGCGAAATTTACAAAACTGGAGCAGGTATGTGCAAAAGTTACTGATAGGTGCCTATCAGTCCTCACGTGTACACCATCTGATTAAACCTATAGAGGACTGTCTGCACCACCTCTATTCGTCAACGCCCGTTTTGTGAATTAAAGCAGGAATATCACGTGACACAATAAGATTGTTTAGTTTGGCAGTCAGAGAATAACAATTCCTTGAGAGGCACAAACTGAATCAAACTGAATAAGATAAATTGCAACTGATTCTAATGATGAGCAGTGTGTGTTTGTGTGTGAAAGAGGTATATGGAGAGCTAATGCAGGATGCTTGTAGGACTTTAGGGTAAGGTTGGACATCTCCGACATCTCCGATCTACACAGTACAGAGTTAGCAGCTTCAAGGGTTGATGGAGCACAGTTCACAGCTACAGAGAGCAGGGCAGAGACAATAAAACAGGAAGTACTGTAAAATCTCAAACAGGCCTGTTTTTCTCATGGTTTCTTCATCCTAGTTCACTCATGGTTATTGTTTATTTGTAAAAACTAAGGAATTCCTTTAGTGTTTCACAATAAAAGCAGACACATGTACCCAGATTTTGTGTCCTAGCTCATCTGAGTCAATAATTTCAAAAGTACCAAAATGTTAAAGCTGACTTTCACTTCCAGCCTTGGAGGCAACTTGTTTACCACAGAAAATCAAATTTACAGCTTCAACTCATCTTAATTTTCTAGCATCTGAACATAAAAATCAGAAAAGAAATAACAGTTTGGTCCAAATTAGTGTCCAAGTTACAGACAGGGCCACATTTAGCCCAGAGATCTGACTCCTCCAACTAAGAGATCCAAACCCACAACCTGGTGCCATAGCCTGGACTGTACCACCAGCTATGATTCCCATCTTTTATATGCAATATGAAGATGTTTCTGAGTAATTTCAGGCTTTTATCTTCAGTAGAAGATTAATAACCATCATCTTTCAAGAAATGATATTTTTATCCACTGGTGACAGGTTTCACTGGTACATGAAGTTATCTGCTGCATTGTCAGGCTGTAGTTTTCCTATATATTTTTACTTTTTTCCACTTTCCACTTCTAAACATATTTATTATTCCACATGGTCTTTCTTAAATATTTGAAAGTCTACATCTTATTTTACCTTTAATTGAACCTGCCTGAGTATAATGTTCAATCTCAAGACTGCTTTTTTCAAATGGAAATATTCTAGATTTCTACTGAAGTGTCAGTTTCAAATGTTCCCTGGATAACTTTACAGAGTGCAAAAACATCTGAAGAAGAGTGGTGTAAGTTTGGGACTTTTCATTGCACCAGTATGCAGCATGTTGCAAGTTGTCAAAAATGACTAATAATCATCATTACTGATCCTCCTCAGTGGTGCAGCCTTCTAAGTGACAAAGACATCACTCATGGCCCGCCACTGTAAGCCAAACTAAGGTGGTTAAACACAAGAACCTGCTGATGAGTTTCTTTGATTCATCACAGCAGTATTTTTCTGTGACGACATTTTACCAGTTTTATGTGGAAACACAGAGACATATTCCTTCTATTAAACATCTGAGGCGGTTCCTCAGTTTTATAAATGGATGCTTTATTAAATGTGAATATTTTCAGTATGTATTTAAACTTCTTCACACTAAAATAAAGAACCCTTCTGGGTCTTACAAATGAAGACTGTGAGGAAGAACCTCAAACAAAGACGCCCTGTTGTACAGAAATCTGTTGAAACCAGCCCTTTAGCTCCTGTCACCTCTAGCCCGGTAAACATCTGCTCTCTGGTCAAGCATGAGCACGCTCAGCTGGAGGCTTCATATCAGGATTTCATATCTATCTTTTAGATGCAAACTATAAACCACTGTACAGCACATTTGTAAGGATTGATATACAACAAGCTAATATAATCTTAGAGTTTATAAACCATATATCACATCTCTGCAGTATCTTCTTTCCAAAAGTGCTGAGTGAAAATCTGTGCTCATATTTTGATTATTCTCTCAGTCGGCTGTGGTGGTTGGCCAAAGTTAAAGTGAGAAGAGGCACAAGTTCTTATTGTTATATGGGACAGAACACCTTTTAAATCCAGTAACTGGAGATGGTGTTATAGATTATGTTTAAAATTGGATTTATTAAAGCTTTCCCAGTTAAGTTTCAAGTTTTCTGGCTCGTAGTCTTAACAGACAGAGTTTATTTCCTGTAAAACATTTAGTTATCTTTGAATCTTAGCTTATATAGTAGCATGGCTGAGAACTAAGGGAGACATAACTTTTGCCACTGTGGCCCCCAGACTCTGGAACTCTCCACCTTTGACCTTGAGATCTGTGGACAATGTAGTCTCTGTAGTCTCTTTAAAAAAAACCAACTAAAAACTAATCTTTGTGTTTGGTTAACTTTTTTTTTGTCTTTTTTGTTGTAAATGCTCTGGCATTTCTTTATGAAGCACTTTGTGATCTCTGTCTTGAAAGGTACTATATAAATAAAATTTTACTTACTTAATTTTGAGGTTTTGGTTTTCAAAGATGGCTTTAAATGGTTCGTCTCACAAAATATAAGTCTAACTTCAACAAAGTATCTTAAAAAGAAACTATTTATATAAGTTGAGTTGTTGTTATACTCAACAAGTCACCTCAGTTATCACTGTTATCAGACAGAAGTGATCTTCACTAACACATTGACTTGTGTCTGACTTCTTTCACAAAGTTTATCAGCCTCTTCCAGACAAAATAGATTTGGATGCTTCTCACCCGGCATTGACAGCTGAGGTAAACAGTGGACTGACAAAGATAGGGAAAGAAAAATCTAGGGCTGATCTGGTCTGGAGTGACTTTGCTTTCTGGGTACACTCACTACAGATGAACAGCAACTAAAGCTTTGAGGTGTCTCAGGGATAAAAACATAAAATATTTAAGTGAAACATTTATTTTTAATTTTTCTGATTTATTGCTAAGTGTTAATATTATTCAAACATGTTAAAAATAGTTTGGATATTATTTTATTATATAATATATTAGTTACAGTGTTTTAACTACAGCCATTATGTGATGTTTTAGATATCTCTTGACTGATTAAAATTTGTTTGTCCTACAGTGGCCTCGGTCGCTAGGTATGTACTTGAATTGCAAGACGCAAAAAAACAGAACTCAGTTGACTACAGTCTGCAATATGCTGACTTCTGGTGGTGATATTTTACACTCTGGAACTTTAATGTTACAGAAAGCCTTTTTTTATATAAAATTAATAGGTCAGAAAATGAAGATTTGCTTGATAAAATATTGAACTGGATGTCAACTTGTGCTGCCCTGTCACAGCTCCTGGCAATGGTCATTTACACACAAAGTGTTGTTTTGGTGTGTGTGCTGTCATGTGAGGTATCTGACAAAATGACATTTTAGAATCCTTTAGGATGCCAGTTTAATACAACATCAACATTTCAGTCTCCAAAAAGCAGCAGGACCCTTGTTTTCCCGTTGTTCTGCAAATTCACTTGAAAACCAAAGATATTTCAGTTTTATCACATTTATAAAGCATCCAAAGGAGACGAACACACTTAACTGAGATGTTTAGGGTGTGGACAGTTTTATAGGAACTACCAGCTCCAATCCTTTGCTTAGTTGACTTGGCTGCCCTGTAGAGGTACTACTCATTTATATAATTTTAAAAATAAATATATAATAGTAAATAATAAATATATAATCGATAAGCTGTCATGTAACCCTTGAAATCTGTAATTGCTGGTAAAGTTTTTTTTTTTCATTTTTTTATAAAGCTCATAGAAAAATTACAGTTTGAATGGGTGGTTTTGTTGAGTATGCTTCCAAATAAAGGGTTATTCTAGAAAAACCATTTGTATTTTAGACACTTAACTAATTGACTCCACATTTTTTAAACCACTAGATCCCTGTTTCATGGATTTGTTATCCAGCCATTATTCTGTGACATATTTGAAAGTTTACAGTACTTTATGTCCAATTTGTAAAGAAGACACTCATTCATGTCTCTCTCTACAGGCACACATAATCATGCCACTTAAAGTTGCTTGACTGATATGTAGGAGGAAGTACAAAATAACAGCAAGAAAAACAGGCCACACAAAGGTAGGGAGCACTAAATACTTCGGATTCAAGGCCCTGAAAAAAACAGGAAACAAACAGCTAAGATGAGCTGACACGTGAGAATGTGAGACCCTGAATGCATCTTGCTGTTAGGGACACCAGTCATTTGAAATGCTTCGTCCATTGTTATCTGAGATAGGCTATGGCTTTGGCCCTGGTCACAGCAGGAAGGGGAGGATTTAAGGAAAACTAAACACCCTTTTTACCAACAAGTGAAGGTTCCGTCTTTGTTAAAATTTGTTTTTTGTTTGTATCCCATCATCTCTCTTACACCGTTTTAGAAAAATAGAAATCAGGAAAAGATCATTAAAAAAATAAACCAAAAAGTTCATCCAAAGTCTACATCCACATAACAGCTTCACGTAAATATCAATGATATTGCACAGCAAGGGATTTCTTCCGATATGAAGTAAATCACTGACACAGTTGGTTGATTAAAAAAAGAACACGGTGGGATGTTAAAATGATTGAAACGTTGCATGTCGGGTTTTATTGTTTTTTTTCTTCAGAGAGACAGCAGCAGGATCCCGGGCCCTCCTTCATCAGGCAGATATGTCCTCTGAGTCCTGCTTGAAAAAAGAAAAAAAGTAAAAAAAAAAAAAAAAGAAAGCTTCAGAAGTATCACTGGTGAGTTTTGGTTGAAGGCACAGAGTTCTAAAAAGGGTGGATGATGCTGATTTTCAAAGCACAGCAGCAGGTTTTTAGTTGTTGGCGTTTCCTGATGGAGGGGATTCATGTGGTCGGATCGACTCTCCTGATGGTTGGAGGGCAGGGCTTAAACTCTCTGTGGACACATAAACAAGAATATGGGATGTGTTAGTGTGGGGAGAATAGAAAAACTAGAAAATATCCACAAAGCATATTCCACTAAAGATCCACAACTTTGATGCCAAAATAAACACTCTGCAGACACATTCGGGCCTAATCCAGGCTGCTTATGGCACTACTGGCCAAGTTATAGCAAATGAGCCAGATGTGACACAACAAACATGATATCTGGCTGATATAAAGAGGTTGCGTGCCTGAGTTGATCCAGCTAAATCCACCAATCAATGAGGCCTAATGTTGTGCAAAATCAGCTGTTGATACCAGGCCACATCTGGGCCAAACAGGTGGTACTTACTTAGGATGCTGCTGTGGCAACTACAGAGAAAAAAAGCTAATCCTCCTGGATACATTCAGAGTTGAAGTGCTTGTTTCTATGGGTGTTTTGACACATAAATTTTGGGCATCATGTGACCTAAAGAAACCTGCACATTTGGGCTAAACATTCAGTGCTAATCAGGACTATCAGAGAAAGGCAGCCGTCATTACTGGACCTGAAAAACTCCAATATAAACCAGATGATTGTACTTCTCATAGATCAAAATAAAAGCGTTAGTTCTTCCAATGACCAGGAAATATGTAGGTTTAGGTGAGATTTTTGGGAGAGTGGGGTGGGGGTCTTTGTATAACTGCAAAAGTTATGAGCTGAGCTGAGCTGAGTCGACACAACTGTCAAATTTAAAGGATCAAATTTATCATTTTGCCACCACTGTCCCCTCACAGGAAGAAGGTTGCTGGTTCAAACCCCAGCTGGGTTCATTCTTTGACTTTTCTTGTTTTCCCTGTAGCTTAGTGGGTCATCTCTAGGTCCACAGTCCAAAGACCTGCATGTTGGGTTAATTGGGGATAATAAATTGGCTGCAGATGTGAATATGTTATCCATCATGTACCTTAATGCAGGATTTAGCGTTACAGTAACTGATCCTGCAGACCCAATGTGCTCCACAGCAGGCTATTCTCCAGATCAGAGACCAACAGGCAGGAAATCACTGACCAATCAGATTCCTGCACAATGAGGTCACCATCCCTGAAGATCCCTGAGAGCTCAGAATGCAGATAGTCAGAGGGTCTGAAGGTTTTTTTCTGGGGTTTAAAGACTTTGTCAGAACAGCTTCAGTTAGAAATTTAGATCCTGAGAGAAACTTTATTCTCGATGTTTCGTTTTGGCCACAAACAATATTTACTATTCTACAAGAATCAACATCTGATCCTAAATCACAGCATGTGCTTGTATTTGGACTTTATATCACATTTGCACACAGTCTGCTTGTCTTTATTTTTACTCTCAGACTGTGGTAACTGGCACCTTCCTTCTTGCTTCAAATAAACTTTATTAATACAGCAGCTCTTTCAGCTTCAGGGCTTTTACTGTTTTCACACACACACACACACACACACACACACACACACACACACACACACACACACACACACACA